AATGGCAACTTTTATTTACAATGTTAATAATTTTTTAACACAATATTATACCATAATATAACATTGAATAAAAATATTTGTGTACATTGATTCTAATATTGATATAAAAAAAAAGAAGTTTAACGATGTATAACTTTGATTTTTAACATTAAAACTTTACACTTTTGCACTAAAATACCCAGAGAAAAAAAAACTTTTGAATAAACAGTAATTGTATTCAAATTTATGCAGTTTATTTCATGAGTATATGGAGCTTCATTAATCATGATTTATCAATATTTTTAAATTTTTAATAACTAATAATAATATCTAATAAACATTAGTTTGTATATGGTAAGCAAATAAAAATAATAGTGTAATAAATTTTATATTATTTAATATAGTACTATAATATAATAAAGGCTGGTTTTCCAGTCAAATAATACCCCCAAAAAATATTACCGGGAGTGAGTAAGATTTTCCTAGGCTTATTTTACTCCCAGTACAATTATCCTAGATTAATTACACTCCTTTCAGTAGGTACGATTATCCTAGGAAAGTTTTACTACCGCCGGTAAGAAAATCCTGGGGATTTATTGATTCCGCCGAAATTACCTGCTTAGGAAAAAGGTTTATATTGATTCCGCCGGCTACTGTTTATAAAATCTACATATTGATTCCATCTTATACTAATTATTAATATACAATAATTAGTATAAGATAATAATAATAATTATAATAATTAATTAATAATAATAATTAGTATATTAATATACAATAATTAGTATAAGAGTAGATCCACCAGACCAGTGATGTGATAATAAGCACCCGCAGCACTTTGACCGCGATCGCATACGTGCAATAGCTGTGGGTTTGCACCATCACGTCCAGCAAGTACTCGATTAACCGAGCGGTTACCTGAACCATGGTATATATGATCACGAGCAGCAAAATAAAAACTTGTCTGATGGCAGAGAGCTCATTGAAAATCAATCGCATCAGGGCGTAAATGTTTCCTTCGTTGGACTGCATGATGGATTCACCAAAAAAATGTCTTCTACTGCACACATTCAACAAACAATAACATTCATACTGTTATCCCTTAAGTAACCGTGGTTTCCGCTGTTCATTGTTATTATGATTATGTTACATTGCAATATCGGCCATGTTCTTTTTTTTTAAATTTTGAATAAATTGAAGAAATGTATTGGTTTTTACAAGCACCAGGGCCGAATTTAGCTCTTTCAGCGCTCAATGCAAGAATTATTTTGGCAACCCTTCATCATAAACAACTTAAACATATAACTTAAGCAGGTAGAATTTTGGGACCTGAAAAGGTCTCTTTATACATATTATAACCTAAGCCTTATGCATAATCAAAGATGCTTAAAATAATTTTTCAAACGTCCATATTTGCCACATATTTGTAAATCATTCAGAAAACAAACATAATAATACTTGTAATAATAAAGTGATAGTTTATGAAACTGTAATTGTACCTACAATCACCGCCAATCTTTGTACGTCGATAGAATAATAAATAATTATAATTATAATAATCAAATTTATATTTGCGTCGCCAATTCAAATCAAATTTAATTATAATTTTGATGCCTCTCACGCGCCCTTCTGATTTTGGCGCCCTATGGCATCAAACGCGTCGATCGAATCTAAAGCCGACCCTGAATATAATATGTTAATAATGTATATTAACGATAATTCCATCCTTAATAATTCTTGACAACTTGAACCACATTGTTTTGTTCGGTTCTTGAAGTTTTCGAGTCATTCGTTGAGTTTTCAAATCGTTTGTGCTATCCATTCGATTTCAACTCACCTCCGTTGTAGTAGGTACCTATCTAAGCATCAACCGTAACGTTTGGAAAAAATATGCTACCAACAACAATGATAATAACAGTTCAATCAGTATTGTAAAATTCCTGCTACTGCTGCTGTACACGTGACCGCTAGAGTTGTACCTGTTACAATATAATGTAAATTATGCATATTATGGATATTATAATATCTTTTAAATACGAATTAGATAACATTGTATTTAAACGTTTTTTTTTTTTACGTATTAGCTACTTATTTTTTCACAGCTATAATAATAATATTGCAATCGGGTGAATTATTATATTACGATTTACCGATCCAACAATAAACAACTAAAAATACATAACACATTGATTTTACGCGTCCGAGATATTAAATAATCTAGGTGCCTCGTGAACTATTGATTTGCCGTGGTGGGAATTTGTTTAATAATTTTTTTTTTTTTTTTTTTATCTGAGAAATGATCTGAAAAAACATTTGTTGCTATCAGATATCCATTCAAACGTGTAAATGTATGTATGTCTAGCGCATAGGCGTGTCTGCGGGTCTTGCCTGTCATGCACAGGCATGACCTGCGAAATTTGATCTAATTTATATTATAATAAATACATTATAATAATTGTGGTACATAGTATAAACTTTTTTTCTTAGATTTTGATTTCAAATAAAAATTATTTGATTATCATCGTGTGGACTTTTAGTATCTATTACAATTATTTTGTTTAATTTTGATTCTCTAAATTCCATTGTAGATAAACAATTGGGTCTCAGCTGGTTGGATGTAGTTGTCATGTGCTTTGATGTAACAGCTACTATGGCGGGATGCTCTAACGGTGTCCAATCTAAATGCAAAGAAATAAATTCTAAAATATTCTATGTGCATTGTTATGCACATTGCTTAAACTTAGTATAGGTAGATTTGACTGGCCGAAAGAATCGAATAGTTTTTGATTTCTTTGGTACAATATAATTTTTGTATACATTTATAGAAGGTAGTTGGTTGTATTTGACACGCTAAATTAGAAAAAGTAGCCAAAGAAATAAATTTAACTCTTAAAACTCTAAAATCTTTTTCTACAACACGATAGGCGTGTCGATTTGAAGCTGTCGCCGCAGTAAAAAATAATTATTTGTCCATCATGTCTGCAATCCAAAAGATCTGCGACATAACTAAAATTCCAGATGTTAGATCAAAGTCAAGAGGTCTACTGATACACTTAAAAATATTTGAATTCATTTTTGCTCTTAATATGCTACATCCTCTTTTATTATTCATTGCTAAAGTTAATTCATGTCTCCAAGCTGAGGATTTCTATCTATTAAATTCTCTAAATATGATCAAATCACTAAAACTGAGCATATCTCAATTAAGATCAAATGATAACTTATTTAAAAAAATGTACAATGAGACAGTTGAGTGTTGTACAGAAACTGGATTGATCATTCCTCAAGTAAAAAAAAAGAAAAAATTATCAAGTATCGGAAAATCAATATTTTTCATGTACAAAAGAAAAAGAGATGAAAGTTAAGAATTTTAATGTTATTATAGAAGACTTTTCATTGGTGGACATTTGATTGAATTTTTGGGGGAGCTATAATAATTCAATGTAAAATAACCCGCAGGTACTTCGGCTCCACATTCCCTTCCCGTGCACAAGTAAAACTTATTACTATTAAAAATATAGATATGTTTAGATTGTATTAAAAAAAACACATATGAGATACGTATACATTGCGTATAACCTTCATTTGGACAATTATATATTTCTATAATTCATTCGTTGATCGTAATCACTTTAAAATATAAACAAAAATAGTAATACAACATAATATTATAATCTGCGGTGACCGAAACAAAATTATAGTAGCTATTATTTATTTTGTTTACCTACATAAATCATACAGTAATTGTGTATGAAGTATTTTTTGGAATAATTACCGATCATTTTACGATTATCGAATTCCACGCGGGAATATTTGTAACGTGGCATTTGTTTCATATTAATATACGGAACAATTTTTAAGTTACACATAAATCATTTCCTAATCAAATGTATTTTTATACTAATAAGAATATTGGTATATTTGATAATAATTGCCTTGAAAACCACTAGGCCGACTTTAACACGAAAGGTCCACGTTGCTTGAAGAAGAATCAAAGCCTTTGAAAGCCTCTCTTAAGAGACTTAATTACCACTCCCAAAAACCGTATTTTTAGATATTTTTATATATTTACATGCATTTAGCTTATATTATACGATTTAACGTGAGAACATTTTTTTTTTTTTTTTTTAAAAATCGATATAAAAGTATCAAGTTCTCAACGAGTAATATTTTTGGAAGAGATGAGAATGATATGAGTGTTCTTTGAAAGCGTAAAGTTTCACATCATAAGCAAGATGTTGTCAATCTTTTATGAATTACATCTATTGTAAATGTTTATATCAATGTTTGGATGATTTCGAAAAACCAATGATTACTATATATATAAGTAAATACATTATAAACAAATAAATAAATAACAACAGGCTGCTGTAGCAACTAACACGTTTTGTGCTAAGTCACTTAATTTCTCGGACCACATTTTTGTGACTGGAATTCATTAAATGGAACCTTATATTTAAAATTATATGGAGAGTAACTAAAAAATACATTTTTGTGCTTAATTCATATAATTCGGATGGATTTGAAAGTAAACAGAAACCATCACTTTTTGAAAAGAACTTCCTGATTCGGATTTATGTTCGAAGCTTGGGCATTATTTCACCGTTCTTAAACATTATTAGTAAAATAGATTCTCGAATAATCACTTTGATTATTCATCATTTGGCCAAATATTATTTGAAAACCGAATCTATGAAACATGCATCATAATATTCTTCAATAATCGTCATTATTTTTTTATCTCATAACTTAAATTACCTGTGGAGAGATTCCTGTGGTGGAGGAAAAAAAAAACATTTTAAAAACTAATAAACATTTTCGCTTTCCTCACAGCCCTGTACAGATAAAAAAAGAAAAAATATATAATAGAGTGTTTTGTCTTGCGTAAAGGGTGTCGCATCTTTTTTTATGATTATTATTTTCATTTAATGAAATTATTGTAAAATTTGTATTGTTATTCGTTTGAAAAAAAAAAAAAAAAAAAAAAAAAAAACAAAAAATAATACTGTTTTATTTTTCAGGATCTTATTGAAATGCGAATTTATTTGGTTACAAGAATAAACTAAGAGTGAGTAAAATATTATGAATTACTTTAATTTACTGATCATCGAAATATTAAAACCGATATCGTGACATTTAACCGATTACATATTTCAATGGACAGTTTTAATAACAGTTTATTCAACGTGCCATCAAAATACAAGTAGTTTAACGCCAAAAAAGTTGTCTTAATGTGTAGTAGAAACTTAAGTATAAAATAACTTGAATACAATTTCAACTTTAATCCATTGATATGAACGTTTTTATTATACTATTAACATAGAAAAGTAGAGATTGAAATAGATACAAAGGTTGGGTGGGATACAGATATAATAGTGACTGTATATGTAAACTGTATTAATACATTTGAAACCTATGATATGTAGCACAGGTTCGTACAAATGTTCATTAAGCCACATCGTAATGTGTTTTTCATTGCTGCGTTATTATAAACTATCTAAAAAAGTGATAATAATGTAAAAACTTGCATCGAGTTTTAGTAAAAAAAAAGCATAAACCGTAGCTCATAAAATAAAAGTGATAAAAAATAGTTTTTTAGCCCACGCGTATGTGAATTTTTTATAAACTATAAGTTATTCATTAATATTGATAAAAAAAAGTTTATTAAGCCTCGTTATTGTGCCATGATTTTCATTATATTATTATGATAACAAAACCAATCTAAAAGTATAATCATATCACTTAAAAAAATAAAGGTATAATAATAATGTTATGCTAAAGAAATATAAAATACACACACACACACACACATATATATATATTTTCATTAATTATTTGAATATATAATTAATTTCGTTAAGAAAATTAATTTGTGTATTTTATTAAGTTTAAGACTGATACAATTTTTTTTTCGAAGGAAGAGTTTGAGAGGCGTGAACAAACGTATTACTTTTATCGATTTTCATAGTTGAAATACTATTTCGATGCGAGCAAATGAAGATTAAGATCTATCAAATGGTTTATCCGAAAGGTTTTTAAATCCTTCGTGTACTGTATCAAAGAGTGTTTAGTATTTTCATTTCACTTGCCTCTTTTTAAGACGATATAGTTTTTTTTTTTTTTTACGAACGAAACGGGATTAATTTATCTTCACCATTTACGATGAACGAAAAAATAATAATAATAAAATCATTGTCTTCCCAGTGCGGTCTATTTTAACACGAGTCGATTTTGCGCAGCTCATATTTTTTCACTCACGTATGCAATGCTAACAATAATAATAATAAATAAAAATATTTTAGCACACAATCGCAACGCAATTTCTACAGCTTGCACGCGGCATTCCATTATAGAACGACGTACAATTCATATGTTGTTATTTGTATTTATTTACTATGTTTTTATTATTATTTTTTGCACCCGATGTCAATATAAAACCGAACTGACGGTGGCGAAATCCAATTTCGCCGGTGCGATAACTTAATGATTACGCCGTCAAGAAAAACCAGCTAGAACGCGCGGGGCGGACACAATAGTCGCCGGGTCAGGGTTAAGCCTCGGGCCGCCCTAGGGCCAACGGGTTTACCGTTACAAATGATAATTTACGGGCACTATAAATCGGTCGGTACACGGGGGTCGTGCGGCTTTAACTAGTAATCCGCAGCCGAACGATTTCTGCGGGACAACGGTGTAATGGACAGCCGTATTCAGATTTCTCGTACGAGAGCAACATAGCCGGTCGCGGTAATTGTGACAACGAGTTATTTTACGGGGCCAGATGGACGCGGTAGAAAATGTATGGTGCGCCGCGGAACGGAACGGGAAGCACCGGCGGAAAGGGTAGCGACAATTACACCCGTAACGCTACGATCAGTGACCCTACATCAAATGCTGGGCCCTTGTACCAAATTTTTGTCCAGGTCCTTTACAAAACATCTAATAATTCGATTTACCATTGATTATATAAAAAAAAAATCAAGATTCGCATAGGCACAATTAGGGGGGGGGGTGGAGGGGCTAGGCCCCTTCAAAAACATTCAAAGCCTCCCCAAAAACGATACAGAACTTTATATTATTATATTGATAAATAAAAAAAAAAATATACGATTACTACTGAAAAAACGAATAAAATACATTTTTGTTATTCTTTTTTTAGTAACAATATTATAATCATAGTCTTAAATAATATATATATTATTTCTAGAGTCTAGACCGTGCTTATTATAGTACACCGCAGAATATAATTATGTTTTGTACAAATATGGTAAAAAGAGTTTCTAACTATTTAACCATCAAAGAAAATATATCTAAAGATACGTTTCCAAATCTTTTTAAAATTATTTAATTGTCTATCACTCTTCCGGTCAATTCGGCTACTTGCGAACGGTCATTTTCTGCAATAAGAAGAATTAATAATTATCACAGGTCAACTATGTCACAGGAACGATTTTCGAAATTTGCAATACTTAATAATGAGAGAGATATTATTGTTGACACCGAAATTATTTTAAATACATTTGCTAAAAAAAAAATAGAAAAATAAGAATATAAAATGTATGATAAAAAACTATATTATACGTAAATCAGTTATCTATACTTAAAAACGAATTATTGTTTTATTATTTATTTTTAAATTTTACTTGCCTTACAATAAGCACATTTTTCATAAAGGGTAAAGGGTGGAAAAAAGCTTCTGAGAGGCAGTGATTGAAAAATTTATGTTAGGGGCTGAAGCCCTCCCAATTTTTTTACTTTAATTGCGCCTATGGAGATTCGTCAAGCATTTCAACAATATTAATATCGTTATTTTTCGTTACAATATTGTCTAAATGAAAAAAATAAAAATAAAACAAGTATATTTTAATTTAAATTTAATATATTTTTTTTATGTTAAAATTTTATTTTGCAGAATTTAAGATTAGCAAACTCAGTTATTATATCATCGAAATTTACTGTCGAGTTAAAGTTTAATAACGAAGTTTAGTTACTTTTAACCAAGGTACATAAAAAATAAATATTTTTTTAAATTTTTTTTTATATTACTTCTATTTTAACGAGTGAAATTTGCTTCCATGATATGCAGCTACTAACAAATTGAACACAGGAATTGAAAAACTTTTATCCGTACAAATAATTGTTTTTAATTAAAGCGTTGAATGCACTATACTTGGATTTCGATTAATATCAAAATGGCGGAGGTAGATAGAACAATATAAATACCTTAACATTGTTCAGCAAGAAAAAAATTCACTTAGAAATAACTTTATAAGTAAAATAGTATTTTTTTTTATTTTTTTTTTTTTATTATATGTAATTTCTAACTTAAACAACTTAAATTTCTCTTGATTGACTCAACCTAACACGAAGGTAAAAAAATAGTTGAATTACCCGGCCTTCGTTAATCTGTACGTTCTAGAGAACGAGACCTAACCCGACCGGAAACAATAGCACATAGTTTATTTTCGACTCGCAGTATTACACCAAAACACAATCGCACAATCAATTATATTCCGTACTATTGTAACGGTACACCGGACGGCATCGATCAATTCTAAAGTATAAAACACGTATTTTCCGAACCTTTTATCCGTTTGTCTCGAGAACGGCCGCCCGACAAATGTACGATTAATTCGCATTCGGTACGTTCAAGTACAATAAAACGCGAACGCATTACTATTAGGCCACGTGAATAATATTATTCGTGTTTATCCATTTCACCGCGACGACTAATCTCAACTGAAAATATTGATTCATTAAACTCTCGCGGATCGACGATCGATTTTACCGAGAACCCTATCCGGAGACACAGAGCTCGCGTTCCAGAATATGCATTATATGTTTACATGTATGGATACAACATTATCAAAGTTTTTTTCCGCGCGCGTACATAATAGTAGTTGTTTATTTATGTTTCACTCGCTCTTCTCTCGGTAGAATATTTGTTCAGTTGAATTTCGACGTAGCATTTAAGAATAATTTATACGTCGTTTTATTTATTTATCTATTTTTCCAAAAGGCACCGCATATAAATATTAAAAACCCGCTATACGTGTGAACGCTAAAAACTCGCTTAGGTTTATAAATCATAATTCGGAAGACGTTCCGAACGTACTATAATTTGAGGCCACCTCACGGTTCGAATTACGTTAGTTTATACTTTTGGGTTTCTTACGCTGCACGTAATATTTGCCGATTCCGAAATCGAGTTCTCGAAATTCGAAAACACGTGTTTGTTCCAAAACCAATCGATCATGGAACGAACCAGAGATATTTTTATTACCGCAGTCTACTGCGGTCCCTGTATAAATGTACTTATTTTGATTGTCATATCGTCTCCCGGCGATTAGCACGACAAACATTATTATTCGCTACCAAACATCATAAGAATATGTCAAGTCTTTGCATACGTGTTAAAAATATGTTTACTCGGTCTACTGCATCTAAGGTACAATACTTATCAAAAACATTTCAAACACAATTTTTCATTGACAACATTTATTAGGTTCGATAAACATTATCATTTTTTAAATCGAATAAGCAGAATAAATCGATCAGCTCGATTTCCATGTGATATAAATGGACCTAACAAGCCGAAAACAGAACAAAATAATCCCACATTCGTTGACATCTCATCCGCCCAACAACGTACTCTTTGACGAGTTTAAAAATACAGTTTTAACGTACTCAACAATTATCGCCCACCTTTGGTCATAAAGCGTTCAAATTCGGGTTTGAGTCAAACGCAAGACCATTACGGTAACCTAAAGCAAACAACCGTTCTGTGATCTATGACCAACTCGTGCGTAATGATCTACAAAAACCGTCAGCAAACAGCAAACACTGATCGAACAATGTCATTCCGACAACTCCGGTCGACGTGCCCAACGTACGCGCTCTCATTTCGTCTGGTAATGGCCGCGGTTCGCCCGATCAATTCCCATGCCGCGAACGGCCGTCGTAGAGAAGAGGCTTTTGACTGCGAGACGAATAAATCGCAAGTATATGTCCACAAAAAAGATCTACGAAATAGTTAACCGAATCAATACGTTCGTTAAACCGTACATTCGT